AAGGACCTGGAGAAGGGGAAGAAGTGGAAAGATCGTACCATCTTGGGCCAAGTCAAGGCCAAGGATCACTTGATCCTGACATTAGAGGAGGGTGGTACAGAAGAGGTCCCATATGATCAGATTGAGTKGGGCCTAGGGGAGGAGTACAGTAGTGTAGGGCAGGGGAGGTCTTACGCTGCTGTCGCGGCCGGAGGGAGGCCGCAAGGTAGAGGAGGAGGCCAGGGCCAAAGGGGCCAGGCCATGGGAGGCCGAGGACCGGGCGCACAGGGGGTTGGCGGACAGGGAAACCGCCAAGCGGGAGGTAGGGGTCAAGGTCGGGCCAAAGGGGCCAGGCCATGGGAGGCCGAGGACCGGGCGCACAGGGGGTTGGCGGACAGGGAAACCGCCAAGCAGGACGTAGGGGTCAAGGTCCCCCGTTAAATCGCCAGGGTAACCGGTCCCCACAGCGAGGAGGTGGAAGGGCACCTCAAGGAGGATGGCACCCAAGCTTGGCGCAGGGCAAACCCTGGGAAGACTTGGGCTTGGACCAGCGATTATGGCATGAACGCGTGAACATGGGTCAGTGCGTATTCTGTGGTGACCCGGCGCACGTAATTAAATTTTGTCCAAAGTATAGATAGGCCCGTTGGGCTGCTCAACAATCAAAAGGCAGCCGCCAGTAGGGGTCGCAACTGCCCCTACTTCCGGGCCATGTGGAGAAGCGAGCGCGCGCGAACAGGACACTCCCAACCCACATGAGCCTATGGCAAAGGTTGCAGGCCCGTGCCTAGATAGTTGTCCAGAGACTGCTTGTGTTAGCGTCTCTTTAGGCACGTCCCTAACAGGTGTGGCAGRAGAGTTAAAGGAGAGGATGCCAGCCTGGGCCAAAATGAAAAGGGAGAGTAAGGGACAACCGATTTTGGTAGATGTAGAGGTGTTTAGAAGTAGAGTAGGGGCCCTTATAGACTCAGGGGCTACCCGTAGTTACATTAGCCGTAGGGCGCTGAAGAAGCTGAGGCTAGGACTAAAAGTCCTGAAGTTAGCAGACCCCATAATCAGTGTCCTCGCAGACAACCGCACGATGCGAGTTGAGGACTACGTAGAGGGAGTCCAGGCGTACTTTCGCCTAGAGAAGGATGGGAAGGTGGAGAAAGTTCTCCATTCCCTGACTCTCCTCGTACAAGATAACCTTCCTTTTGATATAGTGTTGGGAATGGATTGGGGAGAGGCAGCAGGGGCCACACTTCATTTGAGAGAGCATGAGTGTAGGCTCCCTAGTCCGGCAAGCGAAGTTAAGACTGCCCGCTTGTTCCATGTGTCGGGTGTAGACAACACCTTGGCACATTGCTGTCTCAGTGCTCCCGCGTTCGCGCGATTAGTCAAAAAGGAGCAGTTAGAAGACCAGTTCTTTGTAGTTTATGTTAGACCTGTCACTGAGGCCCAGGAAAAGGATAGCTCCACAGATCCAACAATTGCGAAGCTGCTGGAAGAATTTAAAGACTTGACTGAGTCGGCGACAGGAGTAGTGTCGTGACCCATTCAACACAGGATAGAGATAGAGCCTGGCAGTAGAACTCCTAAGGGTGCAGTCTACAGGATGTCCCCTAGAGAGTTAGAGGAGCTTCACAAGCAATTAGACGAACTCCTTGAGAAAGGTTGGATCAGGCCCAGTTCGTCTCCTTTTGGAGCACCCGTTTTGTTTGTCCCCAAGAAGGAAGGAGAGTTGAGAATGTGTATAGGGGTTTGAATGCGATCACCGTGAAGAATGTTGAGCTGCTGCCCAGGATAGATGATGTTTTAGATCGGGTGCAGGGTTGTAAGTATTTCTCTAAGATAGACTTAAAGTCCGGATACCATCAGATAGAAGTTCATCCTGATGATCAGTACAAAACGGCATTCCGTACTAGATATGGGCATTATGAGTTTGTAGTGATGCCCTTTGGACTAACCAATGCGCCGGCTACTTTTCAGCGTTGTATGAATGACCTGTTTAGACCATGGTTAGATAAGTTTGTAGTAGTCTWTCTAGACGATATCSTAGTTTTTAGTAAGACCCTCCAGGAGCATCAGGGTCATCTGAGGCAGGTCTTGGAGAAGCTTAGAGAGGCTAACTTCAAGATCAACGCGAAGAAGTGCGAGTGGGCCAAGACGCAAGTTTTGTACTTGGGCCACGTATTAGACGGGGATGGAATCAAGCCAGAGGACAGCAAGATCGCGACGATTAGAGATTGGCCGACGCCCCGCACATTGACAGAGTTGCGGTCGTTCCTAGGCTTAGCTAACTACTATAGGAAGTTCGTGAGGAACTTTTCCAATATCGCCGCTCCCTTGCGCCGATTGCTGAAGAAGGAGGCAGTCTGGCAATGGGACAAAGACTGTACTTTTGCGCTCAAGAAGCTAAAGCGCGCGTTAATGGAATATCCTGTCCTCAAAGTTGCAGATCCGTCTTTGCCATTTGTTGTCACCACGGACGCGAGCCAGTATGGGATAGGCGCCGTGTTGCAGCAAGACGACGGCAATGGCTATAGACCCGTAGAGTTCATGTCAGCGAGGATGCCCTGTGAGAAGGTTGCTGCCTCCACGTACGAGAGAGAACTCTACGCTCTCAGGCAGGCTTTAGATCATTGGAAGCACTACCTACTTGGGAGGCACTTCAAAGTGTATTCGGACCACGAAACGCTTAGATGGTTAAAGACTCAGGCCAAGATGACACCTAAGTTGACTAGGTGGGCCGCARAGATAGACSAATTCGACTTTGARCTCAAGCCAGTGAMGGGCAAGTACAACGTAGTTGCGGATGCTCTGAGTAGGAGATCAGACTACTTTGGAGCTGTAGTACACTATCTGGATATAGGGAGAGACCTGCAGGAGAAAGTGAGGCAAGCATATGCGCAAGACCCTATCTATAGCGAYCTCCTAAARAGAGTTAGAGAGGCCCCAGAGACTGAACCAGATTACCGCACTACASACGGGTTGTTGTTTGAGAAGACTAATGTGTTTGACCGCCTGTGCGTTCCCAACAGCGAAGAGATCCGTAGTTTGATTTTAGGGGAATGCCACGATACTGAAGGGCACTTCGGTTGGCAAAAGACATTAGCCAACCTGATGCGTGCGTATACCTGGCCAGGGATGAAGAATGACTGCATAGAGTATGTCCGCAGTTGTAAAGTGTGCCAGAGGAATAAATCTACTACACGCGCGCCCCTAGGTCTTCTCAGACCCTTGCCTATTCCGAATCAGCCGGGAGACTCCGTGTCCGTAGACTTCATGGACACCCAAGTCAAGAGTAGACATGGTAAGAGCCAAGTCATGGTCGTAGTGGACCGTTTTAGTAAATAGGCAGTTTTTGTCCCTTTGCCTGCAGAGGCACGTACGGACTTAGTTATACAGAAGTTTTTTGACTTTGGGGTTAGTGAGAATGGAATCCCAGTGTCAATAGTTAGTGATAGGGACAATCGTTTCACCAGCCAGAACTGGCAAGAACTCATGAGAGTCTACGGATCTAAGTTGTTAATGTCATCTGGCCGTCACCCAGAGACTAACGGTCAGACAGAACAGATGAACAAGRTCCTACAGCAAGTTCTGCGMATGTACATTAGRCCAGATCAGATTAACTGGGATGAGATGTTGCCTAAGGTAGCTAGTGCATACAACAACAGCGTGCATCTATCCACCTGCCGCACTCCCAATGAGTTGCACAAGTCCTTTAGACCGCGCAGACCGTTCAAAGGACTGAACCGGGATCAGATTCACAGATTACCACCCGGTATCAGGGCGTTTGCGATACAGCACGAAAAGGAATTAGCCACTGTTGTTGAGAACCTTCGGAAGGCCCAGCACAGAATGATAGAGCAGGCTAACAAGCACCGTCGCCCATCACAGTTTCAAGTAGGTGACTTAGTCTGGGTCAAGGCAAAAGAGTTTGCACCGGAAGAAAACATCTCGCAGAAGTTACTGCCTGCATATAGAGGACCGTGGGCGGTTCTAGAAGTCAAGGGCGGAGAGGATGGACCATCCTACAGCGTTGATATTCCAGCACACCTCCACACATACCCTGTGTTTCATGCTTCAAAGCTGCTGCCGTGTGTCACTAGTCAACAGTTCCCTTCCAGGAGATCCATGATCCCACCGGATATGGATGGGAGCTATGACATAGAGGGCATTGTAGAAGAGGATGTGTTTAGGACAGGAGGTAGAGGTCGTCCCCAAAAAAAGTATAAAGTCCGGTTTGCCTATCAGGAACCAGAAGACGACCGCTGGTTCACCAAAGCAGAACTTCTAGAGACTGCTCCCGACATAGTCAGAGCCTATGAGCGTGACAAGAAAGGTAAAGGTCCCTCGCCTTGGACTGAAATTTTCTCGGAGGACCTCGAAATTAGGACGGCGGGAGTGAAACGGTTTTCGGGAGTGAAACGGTTTTCACCTTCTAGCAGTGGCGGATGCAGTACCCAGGGTTCGATCCCTAGACCTCACCCTACCCATGTACAGTATCTGTGTAGACCCCGAGAATTGAACCTGTGACCTGTGTATTCGTAGGCAGTTGGTAGGCCTGTCATAGGTCCATAGGCAGCAGGGGTTCGATCTGTACGTCTATAGCGTAGGAGTCTTAGTGAGTTCCGGAAGCTTAGCTGTAGACCTTCTAGAAGGTAGGCAAGTGGGCAAGTGGTCAAGTGGAGAGGCAAGTGGTGGACTAAACTGCAGTGCAACAGCAGTACAACGTCGGTAGGATAGCGGTGAGTCCACAGTCAGTCCCAGTCCGGTCCAGCAAGTACCACAGGGGGACTGTGAGCACCAAGGGCCGATGGCAAAGGGCAGACCAACGAGTTTCTGAAGTATAAATCAAGAGGCAGCGCCCAGCCATTCATGAGCCATGCGGAAGCGCTGCCACAGCGACTTGTGCAAGGAGGTCTGCAGATGAGCCCGGAGGACGCAGTGGGCTAGAGAGAGGGAATTAGCATAGCGATAGGGTAGATGCAGCGACAGCTGCCATAGCTGTAGTTAGTAGTGAGTGTGTGTGTGTGTTCGAGTGTTAGAGTGATGCGTGTGGGATATCCAGGGTGATCCAGTGTATGTGAACAGTGAGATGTTTGGGCGCTGAAGTCRCCATAGCTAATTGAGAGTGAACTCGTATCTGAAAGCCATACCTCCGAGTTTTGAGTGGGCGCATGTCGCCAGTATGCTGCGTTGCTGTTTACATGCATGAAAAGTGTGTTTGAGAACGAGTCTGATTGCA